TGTATGCATAAAGAAATCTTTAACTTTAACAAAAAAAAAAAAGAAAGAAAAAGGTGCTCCATCTGGGTAGCTTCACATCAATACAATCAAGTCCAGGGGCAAGTTTAGGGGAGGCCCAAACTGGAATTTGTAATGTGGGGCAAGTGGGGCCAGTGGTAGCTGAGATGACTCATCTCTAAAACAGTCAAACCTCTGTTCCAGCTGCCACCAAGGAGACATGGCTACTGAAAAATTTAGATTCCAATGAAGTAAACTGAGAATTCCTTCTTTGTGCTTGGAAAGGAGGAAGGCATTTTTTTTTTAAAGATTTATTTATTTATGCCTACAGAACTGGGGTACAGGCCAGAGGTGCAGGGGCGGCGAGAGGCTGCACCAGAGACAGAGTGGGGAGCAGAACAGGCAGATCAACGAAGTACACTGCTGAGGGGAGAGCGGGCGGGTCAGGAGAGGTCTGCCACGCCATGTGGTCACCTCCAGGGCAGGCGGGAATCGAACTCATGCGGATGTGGCTTTAGCTTCTCAGTGCTGTGCTTTAACCCGCTGCGCCACCAGGGAGGGCCCAGGAGGAAGGTATTTTTAAATCAAACTGTAGACTGAACTAGCTATCTGGACCTGTGTTGTCCATGTGACAGTCACCATCCATATGAAGTTATGAAAGTTTAAGTTAAAATTAATTAATATAAAAAAATGCAATGGGAAGTAGTAAGGCCTTATGTATCTATAATATCTCAAAAATATATACAAATTTAAAAACTCAGTTCCTCAGTTGTACCTGCCACATCTCAGCCTCTGAATAGCCATGTGTAGTTTCCATCAATGCTGAGTTCTACTTGCAAAGGCTTGGGTATAAGGATAGCAGCAATCCTTTTAAAGATAAAGCTTTTTCTAAATTTTGTTTGTTAAATATATACATTGTCCTTTAAAATACACAAAATGTTAGGTCTTGGGAGAGTTCAAATGGGAGCATTTGAGGGGAAAAGAGAGCCACTCTTCTCAGGATGAGAAGAGAACAGAATGTTCCATATTTTCTCTTTGACTTGAGAGGGAGAATTACTCTGGAAAAGGACTTGGGGGGCATTATAAAAGAAAATAAAAGAAATATAAACTTACAATTTGGTGACAGAGGATGGCAAAAGGAGAAGATAATGAAAGACGTGAGACAATCCTTTGGCTGGATTGGCTAATGGCCTTTATTCAGCATGAACTCTGATTTCTAGCCTTAAAATGCATCTTGCTGTGTGTTGCAACTGCCCTCTGATATTACCAAATCTTCACAGAAGGTCTACTACACACAACCTCTTGATGGGATATGATGATATAGCAGGCTTTAGGCAGAGAAAGAAAGAAAACAGAGCAGGAAACATCTTGGGAGCAGATGGCTCAGAAGAACTGGAGGACGTAGATCACTAAGAAGAAGGTGGTCCTTCATTATGGAGCTACACAGATATTTCAAATAGAGAAAGAACAGCTTCTAATTTATATTTTCAAATGATAATTTCTATGATCACAACTATAGAAGAGTAAATAAAAAAAATAGAAAAAAGATTGGAAGAAAACAGCCAAAGAATTAACAGTGGTTGCCTCCGGGTGGTGAAATACTATTTTTCTTTTGTCACATACCAGAAGGACACACGTTAGGTGTCCTTTCTCTGAAGCAGTAGTCTAGGGAAGGCTGATGAGGGCCATGAGCTGGCAGGGGATCGATAACCCTGTACTATGAATATTAAAGAAAAATCAGCAGATTGGTTGACGTAGAGACATTAGGGTTGTCTGTGTTTTAAAAGCACTGCTGTTTCTCTCCTCTGCAATGAAAAAATCTCTATTGTAGAAATTTAATAAAAAGCATCACTTAGGAAATAAAATATAGTTTACATTTAAGTAACATTTAGTCAAGTAAGGAAAATAACAGTTTTACAAGTGGCATGGAATATAATCACTGGCTGCTACATATAGTTTCTGAAATTTGAACTGCCTCAAAAGAAATCCCTCAATAATGCAGAAATAGTAAATTAATGCTTTAATAAAGTTGCATTTAGAACATTTATTGGCAAAATTATATACATATTTAAACAGTGGCTAGTAAAATGCTTTTCTTTTTAAAGATTTATTTATTTCTGCATACAGACCTGGGGTTCAAGCCAGAGGTTCAGGGGCAGTGAGAGAAGCACCAGAGACAGAGTGGGGGGCAAAGCAAGTGGATGTACTGAAATACCCTGCTAAGGGGGGACAATGGGTGAGACATGTGGGTCAGCTCCCTGGCAGGAATTGAACTTGTTCCGCTGTGGCTGCAGATAGCTTCATAGTGCTTAAACTTAGCCCCTTGTACCACCAGGGAGGGCCCCCAAGGCTTTTTATTTTCTAATCTAGTGAGTGTTCACCCACTGCTTCAAATGTCCTTGTTGTCTTTAAATCAAAACATGGAGCAAAGAACATAATTTAACGTGACCTGAAGTGGGACACAGGGAGCAAGTGGACCGTGAGGACGGGGGTGGAGAAAGAAAGTCATTTTGGGGACCCCTTAGAAAAGGAAGAGGACACCCACTCTTTTTTTTTTTTTTTTTTTTACATCTGAATGGTTTCTGATCACAGTTCCCTAAGATGGATACCAAATGCTGGCCTCACTTACCCTCAGCCAATAAAAGGAAACAGAGCTTGGGAAGGAAATAATTTCATTTGTCGACAAACTGAGGAGGGCAGCAGACTCGTCTGCAAGATCATCATCCTGCTCTTCGGTAGAGTGCCGGGGTATTTATACAAAGGGGTAAAATAAAAGGAGGGTGGGACGGCAAGGGCCTGCAAAGAGGAGATAGGAAGGGTGGGCATGCCTTTTTGATGTAGCACATGACAAGTGCAGGTGGGCACCAGCTTGCTTTGTTAACCCTTGCTTAACCTCCTCATTATCTTCCTAGGAATGGCCTGCCTTCCTTTCCCTTAGACAAACTTGTTAAGTGCAGCAGATAGGAACGCTTATCTGATGGGCAGGTGAAGAGACTTGACACTGCATCAGTGTCCCTGGAGGTAGGCGGTCACGCCCTTCCTGCCCCAGATTCCCACATCAGCAGAGCTAGTTCTCTGCCACATCCCAACAGCTCCTGGAGCAGCAGAACTTGACAAAACTTTGCTCCAAGCCCAAACCTAGATGCACACGGCCTAGATGCACTTTCAGGTGCTTCCCCGTGCATCTTCATTGCACATTTAGTCACCGGAAGCTTGCCCCCTACCCTGTTGAAATAAATTGTTTTCCTGTTTTGTTTCCCCAGTGTTCCTTTTTGTTTATAGTAGTGGCAGTGAGTACACAGACCCAAACGTATGAGGGAGGCTCTGACCCAGTGGTGGCTTTTAGGCCCTTTGCCCTGCAACGTTACCATTTCAATGATCAAGAAATTGAACAAACCATACAGTTGGGATCAACTGTTTGTGGGTGAAGGAAGTGACTAAAGAAGTGAAGATTTCTCATTGGGGTTCTGAAGGACAAGTAAGAGGTCACCAGTTGAACAACGAGTCACATTCATCAGAAAGAGGGAGCAGCACTGACAAAGTGTGTATGAGGATAGTTTCTTGGGGGAACCATCAGTGGGTTGTCATGGCTAAAGAAGAGAGTGGAAGGAGGAACTGGTGGGAAAAGATGCTGTAGGATAAAGTAGGAGTCAAATTATATAAGGTCTTGCATTTCATTTCAAGGAGTTTCTTTTATCTTACATTGTGGAACCACAGGAGTATTTTACATAGAGAAAGAACAGGTTCTGACATAGGTTTTCAAAAGATAACTATGATCATGACTATGGAAGGACAAATAAAAGAAAAAAAAAAAACTTAGAAGAAAACTGCCCAAGAATTAACAGAGGTTGCCTTTGGGTGGTGAAATATCATTTTCCATATACCAGAATGGAGTTAGCTGTTCTTTATGCAAAGGAGTAAAGTTTCAGTCTTATAAATAACTGTTACATCAATCCTTTAATCCAGTGTAAAAAACCCACCCTTTGCCTACCCCTATTTTATTTACTCACAAAGCAACGATGGCATAAATCTAGAGAGGACTGTGATACACAAGTTTAGGAAAAACAAGTCAACAAGTACGGATTTATGTCAGCCCACAGAACTCATGAAACCTTCGGAAATCTGAATCTCCAAAGGGCCTTCACAAATTAGCTGCCACATAAATTTCATTGATTTTGAAAGGAATAAACTCTGACTCTATATTAATTCTTAACACAATATTGTTTTATATTTTTACTTTGTCTTAGAGGCAACATAATTTCAGAACACACCTCTCCCAAAGTCACCTTCAATTCAAGCACAACCTACGGAAAACAATGCATTTACAATGCTAATATGGCTTCAACTCATTTACCAAAAACCTTCTAAACATAATAGTGGTCCAAGCATCTGCCTGTTTGGAAAATCTGGGACCACAGTCACCTAGAAAGGACAGAGGCAAGAAACAGCCACATGCAAAATGTGGTTAAAATGGTCTATATAATAAACTTTTGTAATAAAAAAAAAAATGAAAAAAAAAAAGGTCTGTATAAGACAAAGGGTAAGGCAATGACTAGCACAGAATGCAGTCATTATTACATTTATAATAAGTAGGCAGCTTTATACAGAAATGCTGCCTAGATACTTCGTAAAGGAAAAATTGGTATTACATGAAATCCATCTGTTAAACAAAAATGCTAATAGGAACAATTTTCTCAGGTTGTTGTGAGGAATTAAATAATATGTACAAGGTATTTAGAAGGTAGCTCCACACACAATGAGTCATTAGTCATTTATAGCATTATTATTCTTACTATTCTTTCTGGCACATGGAGTGCTCAATAAATTACAGTATCTAGTATCATTATCATTATGATATCTCATAACTTACTTGCCTGTTTCTAACTGTAACAACTTATAAATTCCAAAGATACTCTTACTTATGTGAGACTATTTACTTAATACTGTGATTAAAATGATGTAATTTTTAGAATGTGTTGAGAGAAAAGATTAGTAACATTTACCTCTTCATATCTATCAAAAACCGCTCCTTCTTGCAAAAATGAAGGAACTTCTTTCTGCCAATTAAATTCATAAGGTTTGGCCATGATTATATCCAACACCTAAAAATGGAAAAGAATATCTCATTAGTATGCAAAAGTAAAAAAAAAAAATAAAGCTCAAAGGTTAATCACTATATTTGTGTTTGCAAAAGTTATTCTTTAAACATACAGAATAAGACCATAAATTATTTTTTTTCTTTTCATCTCATTCCAACTTCCCCTCTTCGTTCTAAACCAAAAGAAATCATAACAATAAGATGTGATCATTTAGGATGCATCTACCTCCTTAAAATCCCATAAAATAGAAGTGTTAAAAAATTAAGAATTTGTGTATACTGGGCTCTCCCTGGTGGCACAATGGGTTAAAGCACCATATTATGCAGCTCTCCGAAGCCACAGCAGTATGAGTTCCATCCCTCGCCAAGGAGCTGACCCTCATGGCGTGGCAGACCTCTCCTGACCCGCCCGCCCGCGGGTCCCCTCAGCAGCGTACTTCGTCAATCTGCCTGTTCTGCTCCCCACTCTGTCTCTGGTGAATGTTCTCACCCACCACTCCTCTGGCCTGTACCCCAGTTCTGTAGGCATAAATAAATACATCTTTAAAAAAAATAAAGAATTTTTGCATACTACACTTGAACTAAACCAGAAGACTGATAAACAATTCCAGAAATATTTACAAAATAAACACAATACAGGAAGTTTGAGAATGAAGGAGTGAAATAAAATAAATAACAGGAATAGACTAAAAAGTGATGGAAGCATGTTATTACAACAACTTTAGACAAAACAGACTTGAAGGAAGAAATAAAAGGCAGAGTGAAAAATTATGTAAAATAGGATGATCAAAATTTAAGTCACTAACATTTAAACATGTGGCATATAGCATCAAAATATATTGAAAAACTGATAAAGTACGAGGAGAAGTTGGCAAAAATCACAAACTCTTCATGAACAATGCTTCTCAAAAACGAGTTACAATAGTTAAATAAACAAGTAAGCAAATTAAGGATTTGATACACAGTTTAAACAAACAATTTAAATGATCGAGTTAACATAATTTAAATAACATTGTTTAATGAGTTTAATTCCTTCCCATGTGGTATGCAGGTGCGTATGAATGTATGTGTGTGCTTCTGTTTGAGTGTGGTATATTCTTTGTGCGTCTCCAGCTACCGGTAGCACATGAATATAAAAATTTCAAAATATATGGAGAAAATCTCAAGTGTGTCAGAAGAAGGAAACCAAAAATTATGGTGGCCATACTCATTGACCACAACTAGGCCAACTTCTAAATTAAGGTGTATAAAATCTGTGAACGCGGAATTATGCACAATTACATAGATACACTTGAAAATAATTTTTGTAATAAACCAGTATAATCAAAGTAAATTATAATCTTCCTTGCAAAAAAAAAAAAAAAAAAACACACACGGGGAATTATACATCAAAATAGAGACGCATAATATGTAAAATATGTAAATAACGACGAGTAAAAGTTAACTATTTATGAATATTCATATGTTGGCAAATTTGGCAAGTTTTCTTGGGGGAAGGGAGAGTGGGAACGAAGGATAAACTCACAAGATTCAGGTAAAAAGTGGGATACAATTACAAAGAGGAGAGAGTGAAAATTGTAAGAGAATATTAAGTTCAACTTTAATCAAAATATTTCAAAGTAGATTTTTAAAAAGATTTATTTATGCATACAGAACTGGGGTACAGGCCAGAGGTTAGAGGTGGTGAGAAGATTCACCAGAGACAGAGTAGGGAGCAGAACAGGCAGACCGATGAAGTACACTGCTGAGGGGAGCAGAGGGCGGGTCAGGAGAGGTCTGCCACACCATGTGGGCCACCTCCAGGGCTAGGGATTGAATGCATGCTGACGTGGCTTTAACTTCTTAGTGCTGTGCTTTAACCTGCTGCGCCACCAGGGAAGGCTCCAAGTAGATGTTTTTAAAAGTTAAAATAAATTTGACTGTAAAAATGAACAGAATATTTAAATAGACTAGTGACCTTCGAAGAATTAAAACGTAATAATAAAATGTGAGGACCACGGGACTATGGTGGTGGCACAGGGGTGATTTGGTGATGGGAAACCCGTGGGGATTACAATTGAGATAAAAAAAAATGTGCTAAATGATGTAAAAATAAACTTTTTAATAAAAAAAAAAAATGTGAGGACCAGATGGTTTTACAAGTGAGTTCTACCAAATCTTCAAGGAAGACGTAAGTCCCGTGTAATCTAAATTTTTCCAGGATAGTAAAAATAAAAAGGTGATTATTCCCTGATTAATTTCATAAGCCCCACTGTCAGATCCTGACAGGACATCACAAGAGCGTTCACAAGAAACCAACCAACTTAGACTCATTCTCAGAGAAAAACTTCTCGCTAAAATATAAACAAATCTATTCCAGAAGGCTATTAAAAGAAAAATTTGGGCTGCTTCAACACTGAAAACAAACCAATATAATTTATTACCTTCAAAGATTAAGGAGAAAATTTTAGTATATGCATATCTTGGCACACCATACAGGAATGCGAAAAATGTCTAAAATATACCATTGAATGAAAACAGGAAGCCCACTAATGGAGGTTTCTCAAAAGACTAAAAATGGATCTGCCATAAGACCCAGCAATCCCATTCCTAGGTAGCTATCCAACAAATACAAAAACACTACGTCAAAAGGAAATCTGCACTTCCATGTTTATTGTAGCACTACTGACATAGCCAAGATATGGAAACAACCTAAACATCCCAAAGCAGACAAGTGTGTTTGTGTAACACACGTCCAAAGGACTACTACTCAACAATCAAAAAAACCTCATGCCACTTGCAACAACATATTTGGAGTTGGAAGGCATTATACTAAAATTAACTAAGCCAGAAGGAGAAAAATGAGCAACAGATGGTTTCACGTATATGTGGAATATAGAGAAACCAAACAAAGGGTCAAAGAAAAACTTTAAAACTAACCTTTGAAAACTGATCATTGATTCTGGGCTTTCAAGGTGGGGATGAAAAGGGAGAGGGGTGAAAATAGGGGGATGGGGAGAACATAAGGCTTATGGTGGAGGACTAGGGGTGCTTTGGTGGAGAGAGGGTTACGATGACTACACCAGAAAGTGTGGAGGGTGGAATTCTATACTGTCAAAACCCTAGCAAGGTGTAAAATGATAGGTAAAGAACAATAAAAATAAATACAAATAGAGAAAACAGGAAGCCACAGAATGATCTGAACACTATGATACCATTTACATAAACACACACATACATGTAACAAGCCTATACATTTCTTTAGGTATGTGTACATTGATGTAAATAAAATATTTGAAAGCTTGGAAAGAAACTTCCAAATTCATCACCCTGATGACTTCTGAGGATAGAACAAGGATCAGGGTTAAAAATCAAGGTAACTTTAGTGTTATCTGTGCTGCACCTTTAGATTAAGGAATATATTCCTGTATTTATGTCCTGCCTGTAAAACTACAAAACCGGAAAGAAATGTGTTTATATACAGATAAGCAGATACATTATTCTTTAGTCCCAATGAGATGAAGCAGATGAAAATCATATTAGTTTTGCAAAGAATGTGTTAGCTTCCTCAACCCTTGCTAGCTGAAGGAGGAACTACTACTCTAGCGAAAAGCTGGTGAAAGCATGAAATAGCCCCAGTGGAGGTGGGAAGCAGCTCTCTACCGACCAGCACCTCCCAGTGCCACCCACAGAAAGCCAAGGAGACAAGACCTGCTGAGGACAGTGGGAGAGAAGAGGTCACCTTCCTGCCCGTGTGCAGGTTAGTATCTACCTCCCACCACGACTGTAACTGCGTATGTTCCTAAGTCTCCGTCATTCTGTTCCTCTCGGTTTGTCTTCTGTTTCTCAGTGTACACACACGTGTGCACGCACGCATGCACGCACACACGCACTTGTCCTCAGCAGAACTGTATGCGCATTAAGATTTTCTTCTTCCTGCCAAACATTCCTTTTAATATTTCCCTTTGTTTTTATTTTAAAAGGAAAAAGAAAATTTGGACATAAAAAGCACACATCAAAAGTGAAAATGGAAAAGAAAGTTTATATCCACTAGCATTGTCTTTCATTAGCTTAACTCTGGTTCCCTCAGGATTTTCCTTAGAGAAAAAAACAACATGGGTTAAGTCCTCAGTGATGCTCCTTCTCAGATTTCGCTGCTGTCCTTCCTACTAAATTATTCATATCTATCTTGGGTATTCATTTCATCATAATGGTTTCATTATGTGAAGGACTTTGGGGTGGCGGGTGGGGACCTAATGGAACGAAGTGGGCAATTTTGACTTTAATCTTTAAAGAGATCTGCAGCTGGGAAGGGAACTCATTTCATTACTTTTCACTTTTCAAAGCTTTGGGGTAAGAGGCATTTTAATGTCATTTACACAATGACATTGGTGTACCCTGCATTTCCCCCATTTTAAACTTGGCTGGGGGTACAGGGGAGGCTAAGGCCTGCAGTAGGGGCTGACTTATTGTTGCCGATGGTCTAAGTATGACCTACGGAGAAGAAAATGTTGACCCAGCCAGTCATGTTTACCAGGAGTATGATCCAGGTAATTGGTTTTAAGAAGCAGCAAATGAAAGTACACGTTGCATTCCAGATGACTCCAGAGAAAGTTAAAGGGACACATAGTTCCTTTAAAAGGAATGTGGAAGGGAACTGGACTGCTTGATTAAGCCTCCCTTTGTGCAGTCACCTCAACATCCCACCCACAGCTCCCTGATAAAACGTTTCACAGTGCTCTGCCAAGGACTGCTCCCCTCAAATGCTCTAGCTTGCCTTCTAAGGTCTCACAAGATACTTCAAGGCTCAGTTGCCCCTCCACCTCCTGGAATAGCACCACCTCACCACACAGGGACAACAGGAAAGGGTCTGCCTTCTCTAGGAGAAGCTCAGGAAGTGAAGGGGAACTTACACAAAGAATGGACATACCTTTTCCAGCATAAACACCTTGAACAGTTATTGGACGGAGGCCAATGGGTTTTTAAATTGTCTCATTGTTACGGAATTCTTACGCAACTAGAATA